GATGCGTCGTCCACGTGCTTCTTCTTATCGCGGACTCACCCTCGAGTCCGTGCGAGTGGAGGGGGTTTGTGGGTGGGCCCAGAAATAGGCTCGATATTACGAGAAACACGTTTGTGTTCTTTGGAATTCGCAGAAGCAAAAGTAAACTGATTTATTGTTAGATTCTGAATTATAAGGAAAATTACGATCGTCTAGGGAGAAAGTACAAGCACAGTGGAACCACGTATAACAATATCCGGACTGATCGGAGGGAAAGCGGTTTGAATAACCCGACGGTTTCAATAATAGCACTTTATCAGTTTGAATAATGGTAGCTGATATTCGGAAAATTGAAACTGACCAGACGTTTCTGTATCGTGTTCGACTGTTCTTTCTTTGGCATATGGAATTTATTCGTGATGCCCAACAAATGATTGCGTATGTCCGTTATAGGAACGTTCGTTTAACTACGCCTGGTCTCGGTTTAGATAATACAGACTCGGTTACGTGTTTGTATATCGTAACCTACCGTATACACACGGAGCTCCTTCTTGGAATTTCTAGGAGAATAACCAAGCTAATGTTTTCCAATTTAGTCCATGTATAATTATAACGTTAAAAAAAAAAAAAAAAAAATCGCAATCGTTCCCTCGTTTGATTTCGAAAAACAAAAGTTAGAATTCCAACATCTAACGCGCAGACCCTCGATAGCCCCCGATGTATCTCTAAACAAATATTTAATAAAGAAAACAACGAACGAAGGGGTCGAAGAACGATCTCTCACTCCGACACAGAATAACCAAATATTTTTCGAAATTCGTACCGGGGGTTGGAAATATCCACGCGCGATACGGCGAAGTCAACTTGCACCCCGCGCAGAATCGCCAGGGTGCTGTGTCGGCCAATGACGTCACGCAAGCTCTTCAACCCTCCGTTAGACCCTCCCACATTTTACTAGCTGAAACGGGGTGCCCGTGTCATCGTCATCGCTTATCGGCGATTCGTTTCACAGGGGTGACGATTATCCCGCTCTCTTCTCAGTTAGTTGTTAATTGAGACAGAGAACACTTAGAAAAACGCATAGTCTCTTCTCACTCGGGAAAATTAGGAAGTGGCTCCTTATCGATCGATACTCTAATCTCTCTATCGTTATCTATTCCTACGTCCCTTGTCCCTTTTTCGCATACATGTGATCAATATGGCATAGATAAACAGCGTAGGTAGACTTTTCGAATTTTAATGTTCAAGTTGTTTAATATTTCCAGTAATTAAACCTGGCTTATTGTCAAATTTCCTATCATTTTCGCGGACCACCTTAGAACGATCTAGGTGATTTATTTCACCAAGAGAAACGACAACTCTTCGCTTGTCCGACGCTGCAACTTGAAAACTATGATTCGAATTTTAAAGGTCTGGGCGATTGGAGAAATCATTAGAAAATAAAATTCCGCGAAGCACGAATAAGCGATTCATTGTACAAGTGAAACGACGAAATCTTCCTCGGTATCTGATCGCTCGAAGATGGAAATCGGAAAACTGCAGCTTTTCATAATTTAAGTAAGACTCCGAACGAATTGTTAACAGCTAATCGATGTTACAAAGAAAAGTATGAGTATGGCGTAAGCTTAAAAATCAAAATTGATATCTTGAAGGTTTCAACGCTTAAAAATATAATTACAAGATGAAATTCGAAAAAATGCGAATAAATCTGCGAGTTTGGCGGGACAGAGGGGACAGGAGAAATAAAATTCTAAAGGATCAAAAGCGCGGACCCTACAGCGAGTCGTTAGTTTGTTATTCCATGCAAAGAAGCATTCTCCCGTTTTCCATAGTTACAGTGGTGGAAACAAAAGAGCGGCAGGGCGCAGGCTCGCCCTTCAAAGGGAAGCTACGAGAGCAGGGGTAAGCTCTTGTCCAATAATGTTGAGAGTTTCGCCACCCTCCGACCAACGTGGAACCTCCCCCTTTTTTCGCCGCGAGCCCCGTATGGACGAGCTTTGATTCTTGTAAAGGTTCAATCGTAAACATAATGGAGTAACAATGTGCCGAATTAACTGGCGCTGGATGAAACAAAAGCGGGAACGAACGATTAAAAACGATCCGGAGCCAGTGTTCCCAGGAGCCGGCTGGCTTTTCTTTTCGTATTCGGTACAACCGACCATTCACGGGTCCCTTCCAACTTTTAGATTGACATTTCCGAGCCTATTTACATCGTGCGGGTAGTTTATAGCACGGATTAAAGATAATTAAAGCTCAAAAGAGTCATAAGCGAAAATAGGACTCATTCATGTACCCACGCGGTCATGTGAACGTTCTTCCTTTTCGATTCATCGGTGGTTCGACATCCTCGTTCGTCACGATTACTTCGCCAATCTCTTACGTTGGTATTTCTTGATGTCGTGCTTCGATCGCTGAGCTTTATCGTCAGCCGTGGTCGCGATGTGTATGAAAACAAAGAATCTGAACATGCTCCTTGAGAACTACGATCAGATGGTTCGGTTCCTTTTTAACGGCTATTTGAGTAACTGCGTTCTTTGTGTTATGATTCTCTATTGTTGAAAGGTAGTATATTATGTTTGAGGAAAATACAAAAGAATTGTTATCGATACCTGTAGAGTTTCGTCCCGATTTTGAGTCAAATTTTGCTCAAGAAAGAAGATTTCTGTTTGTCGAAACAAAGATGTGGATTGAAAGATAGAAATTGGAGGAGTCGATTACTGTAATTTGTAATACCTTGACGAATATAAAATATTCAAAGTTCGTAAATGTATGATTTATGTTTATTATTCTTCAATTTAAAGTGCTGAAACTAACATATGAAGCAAGGAGTTAATTCCCTTGCGAAGAATATTCGATCTCGAACCTACGATAATTTCAAATTCCAACACTAAATTTATATAATTTTCGTTCAATTTAAATAGAAAAAAAAATAGGGTTCGTCCTAACACATGTCGGAGGAGCCTGAGAAAATGCAGATAAAACGCAGCTGACGTATACTAAACACGAATTACAATTTCGCTTGGTAACTGTAACGGTAACGCAGATTCGAGACGATGAAACGAAGAAACCAGGAAATTAATTTCGTTTCATCTTGGCTGGTGGCGTCACCTGCGCTCCGAGGGATTCCCACTTAATTCCAGGGTTGTTTTTCACCCCTTCGAAAGGTCAGGTAGTCGATGTTTCGTGGAAACTAGAATGTGGGAAAAAGGAGTCGCGGCCCGTTAGGTTCCGCTGGCGAAAGGGTTGCTGAGTTACCCTTTGGAAATGGGTCAGGATACCGATCCCTGATCGTTTCCTTAAAGACCCGTTTAGCCTCGTCATATAAAATATCGTGTTTCTTCAAATCAAGATTTACCTGTCGGTTAATGCACTTACTTTATCGGTGCGGGTATATGCATCGTTTAACTAAAAAAAACGCTTGATTTATTGGATCGACCATTCAATGATATATTTGATAATGGTACCAGAAGAAGAAAGATGGAGCGTTAGTGTGTCATTTAATACTTTGTCGATCGATAGGAAAAATTTTCTCATTTCGAAATAATTTCTTATCTTACTTATATATCTTTATTTTTTCATATAAATATAACATATAAATTTGTAATCGTAATACATGGTCCAAAACGTATTAGCATAGCATTATATTTACCATGGCATTTACGTACTAATCAGTCAGCTCCAAATGTATTAAATTTCGTATCGTTTAACGATATTCCTTTTGTAGCCATTGTATGTACGTCTTGCTTACTTTGTAACCCTGTTGACAGACTTTAAAATTCCGAGTCACAGTTTTTTCATTCCTAACGCAGAAACCTTCTCGTTAGCTTTACCGAAGGGTTTCGAATATCCGGAAAGAAGGGTTTTGTACCGTTTCGATGTTCATGTGAGAAAACCATTAGCCGAGAAAGAACCTTTAAATAACGGGCTACCGGATTCAGCCGCCGTTGCCCGGAGGGATGGATCGAGAGAAAAAAGAAATATCGGTACTTTCGATTCCAGGTAGTCAGAATTTGATAGAAATGTCTTTTCACGTTAAAGAATAAAAAGAAAGGCAGAAAGACATTAGCGCGTAGCTGAAAATGTCTCGAGAAATCAATGGAAATTTGGACATATTTTCTTCCCTCTTGCTATGTTTATTGTAAAGTAATGTAACGAATTTTTCAAAAGTAGTATTCTTAATGATCATTTACTTTTATAAAAGTTTCGCATAAAATGCTTTTTCACGAGATTAGTATTGGCTTTCAGTGAGATAGAAATATGACTATATTATCCCTGTTTATATTTATCTTATCACTTTATTGTAATCATTCGCGTGTACCATATCTAGATAAACGTCAAAGATCCAGTTCTAGTTCTAGTTAGTTGCGGTATTAAAACTGGTTGTAGAAGATGAAGTAGAAACCAATTTAGATGCTCGTCGTATTGAACGTCCCTCGACCAACGTTTGATTTCGCGAATCTTCCTCAGGCGTACGTGGTCTGGCGCTTTGTTGTTCTA